TGTGGTGTTTAATTTAAGCCAGGTCCGTCCTGACTGGGTGCACCATTGCTTTCAACTGACGAGGCCCGCGAGTCATGGCAAATAGTGTTACATCTGATGGCACCATGCTTTAGTAATCCCCTATTTTAGGTGTTGATGATGATGATGAAAGTTTCGGAATCCACTTAGTCCTTAGACGCGTGTTGCGTGTAACGGCAGTTATGAAGATACTTTGGTGGAGTTGCAAATGATTACTGGGCGCATGTTATTCGAGGACATTCGGATTCATGTAAAAGTATCTGTCGGTATTGAAATCCAGAGCCCCTAGCGAGGTTGATGTAATTGGTCTGTTTGGATGTATTGCTATATGCAGACATCATCAGATTAATGTTTGGGTTGTGAGATTTTTGTTTTTTAGTCTGTAAAATCTTAGGTGCTATTGTTCATAGAGGCTCTGTTCTGCCTCTGTACTTCTGGTATAGGCCTTGGCTTGAATCACATAAATCTGGAAACGTATATAATTTGAATTAGTCTGGGTGGTAAATTATGCAAGTCTTTGCGTTTACGCATAAACTTCGGCCAATTGATTGCTTGAGGTGCTGCCCGATCTTGTGTGTTGATACAGAGTAGAGCAGTGTGATATATTTCCTTAAAAGTTTAGAGCATTGTGATTCGTTGGTAATTCGATTTTCTGACAATTAATTTACATTTACTATTTAAGTTTGCATATATACTCTCACCAAATATTCAAATTTGTTTCATCTATTTGTGCTTCGATATCTATCAGTACAGAGCTTGCACAAGTTGTTAAGGAGAAAGGTGACATGATACAAATAGCTAAATCTGTGAGATTCCTATATACAAAATCTGCAAAAGTTTCTAAGTAATCATCCGAAAATTTACCTCGTCTCAAATTGATTGTTTGAAACTGTTTACACATTATCAGGACTTCCATGACCAGAATTGTTGCTAAATTTTGAGGTCCCTTTACTTATAGTAACTTGCATCCGTCATGCTAGGTAGCAATTCTAGCTCTACAGAGTCAGGTAAACCTATCCTGTTGTTTCCTATATGTCCTTTTTTTCGAAGAGGTCTGTGTCTCAAATCCTGGTTGAACATTCTCAGGGTATTGGCCTGGAGAGAGAACACAATTGTGTTAGGATTGTGTCTTTGATTATTTGTATTACTTCATGAGAAGGGTTGGAGATCTATCATGATTAGGAGATTAAGTCTCATCATGATTAGGAGTTTGAATCCTATTGTAATTAGGAAGTTAGGCTAGAGATAGAGTTTTGGTTTCCCTATATATATTTTTCTATTGTTGGAGGAAAAACCAAGCAGATGAGAGAGACCCAATATTCTTATAATCTAGGGTTAGCAGAGAGCGAGCCTGATTTCAAAAATATTGTGCGAGATGCGAGGGTTTCGTAGTCTTTGTCCGTGCAAAATATTACATCATTGGAAGAGAGTTTCACAGTCTTTGTCCGTTCAAAAGATTGTAAGGAGAGGGCTTTGGAGGGAATATGAGAGTTGATTATGTATGTGAGGTTGAGAGATTGAGAGACGAGAGTTGAGTGGTTCATCTTGTAGTTCTCCTTGATACATAATGGATTTCTAGTATTGTTGCCCGTGGACGTAGGTCGAAGTTGGTCGACTGAACCACATCGTAGTAGGCGGAGAGACTAAAAATCTCCAACAAGTTGAACATTGCCATAGAATGTAGTGGCTAAATTGCACTTAAATGCGCCAAAGTTTCACAAACCTTGTACTTAAGTGACTCTCTCTATTTTAAAACCAAACAGAAAATACCCTAAAGTATTTAAGTATTACAAATGAGTCCTACATAGTTTACTGAAAAAAACCCAGAAGTCGTTAACTTTTCTCTATGTACCAAAGAAATTTAGAAATTTAAGAGTATTTAAGTGAGGTTATTTACAAAAATGAGACTATATGCAATGTTGCTAAACAAGAGGGCACCAATGTGCAACATTTTAAAATTTTGAGGTATTTATGTGCAACACTTAAATAATTGGGAACAGTTTTTGCTCGGTTTTAAAATAACGGGTCACTTGATTGTAATGTTAGTGCAACTTTAGGGCATTAAAATGTAATTTAGCCGAATGTAGCAAGTACGAATCATATCAAAATGTCCCGCACAATGTGGGGTGTCCTGATAGGAGCACATATGTAGTGAAGGGGTGATGTGAAAATTTCCTTACCCTAACCAATGGTTGAAAAATTCCAGGTATAAGAATATGTTCTAATAGAAACTTCAGTCAAATATAGCTTTCCAATGTTGAGCCGGTTTTTCCTCCCCACTCTATCTCTATCAAATACACAAAGAGACCAGCCGCCTTGTTTGAATTTAATTCCTAAGATCACCATCCAAGACCACACAATCTAACAAGCACCAAGAATTTAATGAAGAGCTTGCATTCTCTTAAAATCTTATTAATAGCCCAACAACAATATGGTCTAATATGGATAAAGTGAAGAGCATATAAACTAAAAAAAAAGTCAAGGAAATCTTATCTAGTTGGTAATCATTAGTTTACTGTTAATGTTAGGGAATTTTAGTCTCCCCGCCTACTACGATTTGCACAACTTGAAAGCCAACCCACAATTAATAAGATATAAAATAATCACAATCAAGAAGAAAGAACACCAAGATTTACGTGGTCCAGTCGACCAACTTCGAGCTATGTTCACGGGGCAACAATACGAGAAATCCACTATGTATCAGGGAGAACTATAAGAGG